GATGAAAGTTTAGCTTCTGAGCTTGGCGTCAGTTCGAGGTTTGTAGACCAATATTACATACAATGACAGTACAACTTTATTCATCTTAAACTTCATGTCATCTGTTGATCTCAGTATTATCTTGAGACCAACATACAAGACTGTTTTAGTGAGTATATTTCTGAAGGTGATGCGGTTAAACCTTAATCTATCAGGTGACTCTCAAAATAGAATTTTACACACAAGCACTTGATTTCAGTTCGTACTTATCAGGGAATCATCACTGGTAATTTTGTCATTTTACTATTTCGTACAGTTAGTCGCCATAGAAGGAGCAGTAATAAGCATTTGTTGCAAAAGCCTGCTTTTTAATGTGTACATTGACTTCACTGTTCATATCCAGCGATCTCAATGAACACCATGATAACACAGGAATCCATACAACCGCCAGTAGGTGGCTTTTAAGGCATACCCAAGAAGCGGGCTTTGTATTCTAAGGAACCGATATATATTTGTAAGTGAGCGCTTATGTATTCGATTCGATTTGCTTTGATAAACTTTCTTTGCCACTCCTAGTTGTTCCATTCAGTAACTGGTCAAGGCTCTTATGTGAGACATTTGTACGTTACTACCAGACTATAACACAGCATGTTATATAAATTTATAATACTCAGTTAGCAGTTCTGAGTTACTAAACGTCGCAGTTTAATGTGTCTACTCAGCCTACGTTGGAGTCGAACTATTTAACCTCGCCTCCAGGGCGCATTTACGGATGAAAGGTCGACTATCATGCTGCTTCAAAATTCCTTATGAACATAAGCAATCTTTTCTGCAAGATAGTACACTGGTGATAAGTGTAAAAACTGCATATGGTATATGATCCATATTGTAGGTATGTGTAAGATTTGTTCTATGTTTTGTGTGAATGTGTGCAAAAATCCTTTTGTGTCATGTTTTGTGCGACTGTAATGCCGTCCTTTTGATGCTGCTAGTCACCCATAGTTTTACATGTTGAAGAATACAGGCCAGTAGTTATAGTAGGCTTTTATTCAGATTGTGGAACAGACCAAATGTAATGCGGGATTACACTTCCAAGCACAAACACTTGACATCCAATGTAGGATAACAGGAAATGTAATGCCTAGGCAAAATAATGAAGTAGATAAACACTTGAGCAACAGTGTTTCGACATTAGCAAGATTTCTCCGGCCACCTCTCAACCATCCAACCCAAGGTGTTGCATATTCACTTGGATGTTCAGGTAGCTGATTTTCTGCCTCTATTTGTGAGTTGCTGATTTTGTTTCGCATGATCATATAATCTTTTGGACTATCCATAACCTCAGTCTTTGACTTTTCCCTCGCTATTAGATAGTATGTCGATGACCATTCTGATTTTGTTTCACTCAATTGCTTTACCTCACTGGTAGACGATTATACTCATGATTGTCATCGCTCGATCCACTGAACTGATTATCGCTAATCGATTGATGACAGGTTCCCTGTTTGTTAGAAACGCGTATTGCTGTTGTCAACATTGACCAATCACTTTCTGAGCTAACTAGCAATCAACACTTGAGATTCTTGGGTTTTCATAAAGTTATTGTTTTGTAGATAATTACCTGCCTATAGACTAAACTAAACAAACGTATCCAGATGTTTGGAGACCTGCTGAATGTATAGAAATGATTAAGAGTTATTCAGGTGTTCTACGTTTGTGCTTGTAATACGCGATTTTATTTTCATCAGTACCACTTGGTTACTGAATTTTTGTGTTCTTAGCTGTCTGACTCAGTGTATGTTCACTGTTACAGTAATGTCAATCCAGATCTTTAAGAGTCCTGGACTTTGTAATAATGATACTAACAATATATTTCTGCATGAGCAGGTACACGCCATTTTTACAGGCATGATCTACAAATTACAACATTTGTCGGCTCACAGCATGCTTCCCAATTTATCAAGTTTATAGTTGTTATATAGTAGACTCGTAGAGCGCTTGCTGTAAACCATGACATTGAGGAGACGCATACGTTAAGTTTGTTCCACACATCAGAAGTTTCATAGCTGTGCCCTCAGAGCAAGATTCCGAAGAAAGAAAAAATAGGAACAGAAGAGCAGCAAGGCATTTGGATATGAATGCCAAACATTGCTTAACATTGTGTAGTAGAACAGACAGAGGTATAATAAATTAGATTAAATTCATATTATCTCTTGTTAGAGTGAAAAAGTTAGCGGCTCCATATGAGAAAATGTGTAACAGCTTAGGTTGGTTGGTTAAGAGTTGACCCCAAACAACCAAGCATATGCCAAAACAGTATTGTTCAAGTATTCATTCACTTCCTTATTTTGTATAAGCGTTATATTCCCTATTATCTTATATTGAATGTTGAGAGTCTTTGTTTGTGTGAACAGATAGTCCCACGCTCCAATGTGACTGCGCGAAGATCGAAATAAAGACCTATTCACTACTTCTCTGGTTTCTTCTATCAATAGCACGAGGGTTAACTTAAGGCACGAAAAATGTAGTAATAAAGAACAGTGAGTTGTGATGTGTAACAAGTTGGAGTAAGCTCACATGAAGGAAGGGAAGTCAAGGTTGGTACAAGGAAAGCGGTTTCCTAGAAGAGAGTGTGCATATAGAGGGTGAAGTTTTAAAAATACTAATAACTATACCTTTCACTGTCTAATTTTTTTCTCTCTTTTCTTTTTTTGTCCATCCGATACCAGCCACATATTATAGTGTAGAAATCCGAGTTAGCATGTAATGGGTTGTCTTAGTAGAATAGCTAATCCTGCATAAAATTGGAAACATGAGTCTGAGTGGTGGGCGGAGGAAGACAACCTATATCACAGATTGACTGACTTATCCTCAATCATAAAGAGCCTGATATATACTAAATGTTCTGCCCCTCAAACACTTGTGGATTGAAGTCATCGCCCTCACCATCAATGCTTGCTCGTCAGTAACTCCACCCTCCCTCCTTTTGTGATGTTGGGCTCATTTAAGCTTATTTTTGAATATATGTCATACCTCACACAATCCTCTGTGTTTCACATCATGTTGGAAAACACTATAGGTACCATTTTACAAGCTTATCAGGCAGTTACAAGTTATGGACTGTGGGTAAGGCATCGTTACAGTGCTTTAATTGACCATAGTATTTAGTTTGCCAATGACAGTATAAGCATTAAGAAGGGTATACTGTACAATAGTTGTTTATTAAAGCAGGCGGAAATGTATTGAAGTATATGAGTTGTAGATAAGGTAACGAGTGGGGAAATATTGGCGAGACTCTAATTTATGGACGAACCATGAACCAATCTTAAATGACACTTACAATTATTAGTCAATCAGAAGACAGTATAAAGTAAAAATATATTATAAGAAGCTGACCAATTACAGTGGATATTCTTCTTTTACATGGTTTAAAAACTTGTTAAGGTTTGATAAAGGTTCAGATGTTCTAAAATCATAATGCATACGATATAGGAACTCGTCCATATGGCTCCATAATAGTCGTTCTCTAGAGCCGTGATACGGTCTTAAAAACATCTGCAAATGCCGCAGCCAGTGTTACTTGTGCCTTTATTATCCAATTCGCAAATATTATCATGATTTGCCTCAGTTTCAGTCGCGATCGGGCGAACAAAGTCCCCGTTCGAGCAGAGTTTTTCCTCCCAAATAAAGAACGACGAAATACAATCTCATCACGATAGTCTGCACGCTTTGCTGCAGTCATTTGATAACCGAAGTCACAGGTACAGGAACTTCTTAGTAGTCTCATCTCTTGCAGCCGCTCAATAATCACCTCTTCTCTAAAATCCGCTGTAAACCGATCGTATGTGAGCATTAGGTGTTGAACTTGGCTCCGTGATCTTGAAATTCCTCAAACGCTTCTGATTGGCTCGTCCATAAATTAGAGTCTCTCCGTGTCTCCCTATGATTCCGTACTAGGAACTCATTTTTTCTTAATTCACTTAAACAATCTTCTACAACAGGCCTCGTCAGACGTATTATTATTATTATTCACAAACATCTTATGGGTACATAAGTGTTGTGAAGAAACCATTTCGGGTTTCTTCAAAAAAATGCAATAATACACAATTTTCAATAATGTCAGCATTCTACTTGCCATTTAAAAAAATTTAGAGCAATAATAGTAGAATATTAATAATAATAAATCGGGTCTGTGCAATTGAGAAGAATATTGAATTGAGTTTAAAGAAGGAAATGGAGAAAATAAGGGAATAGAAATAAAGGAGACGTGAAATACGCAAACAGTTTAATAGGCGTGTTTACGAACACAGAACAAGAATAAACGACTATGTGTGTATCGTTAAATTAGTAACAAAAAATAATTAAGAAAAAATAACTTATAATTGCAGTAAGATATGACGCTAGAATAAATGTTTGTGCAGTTATAGTTTGGAGTGATGCTATGAAAGTTACAATTAGATGAAAAGGATAATAAAATATCAATATGTATGAGTCATATATGCATAGTGAAGATAAAACGGGTCTGAGAATTTAATTTAAGTGTAACACAAGTTATTGTTTTAATTACAAACTTCGTAATCTTAAGAATAATATTTATTTAGAGGGAAAGAAGAGAGAGAAAAGAAGTGAACACCTAGTGAAAAGTTTTGATCCATGATAAGAATAATAATTGTGTAATGAATATCAACCTCAGAAGGAAACCAACAATTGAAAAACTAAAATAAAAATCCGTTAAAGCACTCGGATGAATACATTTAGATTTATGTAATAGTATACAGAGTGAAACCGGATATTAGTATAAATATTTGTGCAATAATAATTAAGATTGATGCTATGAAAGTCAAAATTGATTTTAAAGGACAATCTGGAGTTAAATATGTTTAGAAGGATAAGAAGATACAAAAAGAATATCTAATGTGTCAGGGAACTAATAATGATATTAATAACGGAAATAATGATAAACACGAACATAATCAGATTTCATATATTAAGATAAATAGAAATAAAATAAAATAGATGTGGAAAGATTTAAAGGTTTTATTTTGCTTTTCAAGCAATTAAATGGATGACGGACCTTGTTTGTATAAATCATTATTGAATACATTGATATTCAATAGGTGACATAATCCACTTTCGGAAAGAAAATCGTCAAGGAGACTTTTGAACCGGGTTGTAGTTTCACTGCAACGGAGGTTCACTGGCAGTCTGTTCCACATGGTTGAGTAGCGAATAAGGAAAAAATTCTGACGTAAGTTTGTGTGGGTTCTTGGAATCGCTAGAATATTCTCCTTATTGCGTAGATTGTGGGATGATATCATAAGGTATGAAGGGGTGGATACCGAAGAGTAGGAAATACCGTTAATAAGCCGGTAGATAAAGACAAGATTTAATTTGATACGTCTGATCCAAAGAGGCTCTAAGTTGAGTTGTTGACATCTTTGGTAATAGTCTTTGTTATCGGAATACCCCAGAACAGCTTTGGTGAACCTTCTTTGAACACCTTCAATTCTAATCAGGTCAGTATGTCTACAATTACTGTAAACTAAAATACCATATTCAAGAATGGGTAAGATACATTTTCTGTATAGTAACAATCTCGATTCGATATTATTGAAGTTTATCATTATCAATCCGATGAGCTTTCTAGCTTTGGATACTTGAGATATAATGTGTTCAGAAAAGTTCAGACTGTTGCTATATCTTAAACCCAGGTCACGAACAGTGTTAAGAGGTTTGAGTGTATGTGTCTGTACAGTCAGATTTAAGTTAAGACAGCGACCAATGTGAATAAATCCACTTTTGTCAACATTAAGTGGCATATTCCACGAAATAGTCCATTCGTACAACTTGTTTATTTCCTCTTGGATTACCGCTGAAATATAGCTTTCTTTCGTGGGAGAAGAGAACGAATAAACTACTTTCAGGTCATCAGCAAAAAGAAAAGGCTTACCATACTGAAAGAGGGAACACACATCATTGATAAAAAGGAGAAAGAGTAATGGACCAACCACACTTCCTTGTATAACCCCGCTGGTTACATTCACAGGTTTAGAGTAGCAAGATCCAAAGCGAACGATTTGGCTACGTTCTTCTAAAAAAGATTTGAGCCAAGATAAAAGGGGATTCTGTATGCCAAATGAAGAGAGTTTTAAAAGAAGAAGTTTGTGTGAGACACTGTCGAAAGCCTTACTAAAATCGAAGTAAAGAATTATCACTGACTGACCAACATCTCTTTTCTGGGTAATTTGATCAAAAAACTCCAGGTGCGATGTGAAACATGAGCGTTTAGTCATAAACCCGTGTTGGGATGGGCTGATCAGACTAGCCGAAAGTAAAAATGATAGTAGCTGTTTGTGGATGATTTTTTCCATGGTTCTTGAGAGCACGGATGTCAAATTAATTGGCCTATAGTTAATAATATCACTACGTGGTCCTGTTTTGAATCTAGGGGTGATAAGGGATGTTTTCCATACAGATGGATAGGTCCCATATTCCATAGATAGATTGAAAAGTTTCAAACAAAATAGTGGAAATTCTCTACTTCCATATTTCACAAATGATGAAGGTATCCCGTCAGGTCCACCATCATAAGACTTTTTCAGGGCAGCTATGGCCTGCTTGATGTTGGAGGGTGTAAAATCAATTTTCGACAGATGTCTGGATGTCAGCATTGGAAATGTAATGATGGAGTTTTCAGTTCCAGTTTTGTAGCACTGCGAGAAGTGCTTGCTGAATTGTTCACATATAGTATTCGGGTCGTTAACAATGCTTCCGTTAACTATGAAGAATTTAGTCGTGCCAAGGGAATTTGACTTTACACGGGATTTAAAAAGCCGAAGTATTGATAATTCTGGGCTTTTACTACGTAGAGCTTTATTTTCTATATTCATAAAATACTTACGTTTAGATGAAGCATTTCTGTTGATTAATTTAAGTATACTCTGAAGTGCATACACATCATTCTGCTCGTAGTAGCGGCATTTTAATTTCCTCAGCTTTCTTTTAAAAGTATTTTGGCCCCTATTAGCATTATAAGCCACACGGCCAATAACTGGAGCAGTGCAGTCAAGACAATATATCAGGTTGTGGTATAGATTGGAAAGCGCAATGTCAACATTATTTGTGGTAAAATAAGTTTCCCATGGTAAACATTGAATGAGAGTTCCAGTCCGTTTCCATGTTTGTTGATCAAAATGTCTGCTTTGGTACATCAATGAAGCTTTAGAGTTCAATTGTATGGCGTTTAAAGAGTGAATAATACCAATACAACTCTATGGTCACTCATAAAAAACTCATGACTGGTATGTACTGAGATAGAGTCTATGTTGATTGTGAACATTAAATCAAGTGTATTATTCCCCCTGGTTGGTTTTCGGACCTGTTGAACCCATCCACAAATTTCTAATGTTTCAACTAGCTTGTTATATCGACCTGGTACCGGAGTCAAGCCCCATTTAATTTTTGGCAGGTTAAAATCGCCTCCGATGATTTTAAAAGTATGCGGTTGGTGCGAAGCAATGGAAAATATGTTTGTTAGTAATTTGTCAAACTTAGTATCCGCATGAGGTGGTCTATATATGCATCCCACAAGTAAATAATTTTGGGATCCACAGTTTACAGTAACCCAAGTGGAGTCGTCTATAGCATCAAGGGATTTATCCTCAAATTTGCACGCTTGAATGTCTGAACGGACATAGATAATTGTACCGCCTCCTATTCCATAACATCTATCGGTTCTAAAGAAAACGTAGTTATCTACATTCAAGGAATGATCGGATATAGATGAATTACACCACGTTTCCGTAATAAGTACAATGGTTGGATTAACAAGGAATAAAAGAGTTTTAAGATGAATAATTTTATTAGACAGAGAGCGGGCATTGAACGAAAGAATAAGAAACTCAGAGTCATCATAGTGAAGCAGGTTAGAGTATAAATCGCAATTGGTAGTTCCATGAATACTCATAGGATTAGCTAAGGTAAGAGTCGTGTTGCGAGGGGAAATAGATTCAACCACTTTGTCATCATGTGAAATATGTTTACCGTTGCCGGCAGGAAAGCCGGCGGAATTACAAAAAAATTCTTTTCATTGCTATTGGATATAACATCTGATAAGGGCATACTGTACATATTGGGAGCCGGACCAAGAAGGCTATCAGGTCTATGGTTGTGACCAAGTGGCCAATTACAATTCAGATAACTATTTATACCTGACGTATGGGTAACGTGTTTAAGACGTTTATTTCCAAGGTTTGTGGTTGATTTCGGCTTCTTCATAAGTTGGAGAGGATTGTGTACTGTTAAACATACTTGCGATGGTTTGCGAGGTTCGAATATATCAACGTTAAGTGCGTGGTCAGTTATATGAATGTTATGATTAGTTTTCCTGTTATCCGTTGCACAGTTACTGTAACTGGGTGTTGCACTAACAGGGGTTTGGATTGTGTTATCCCATTCTTCATCAGCACAACTACTTCGGGTTGAATCTAAGTCAACATTCTTAAGAGGATGGACACCACCTACATCGGGATTACTTTCTTCTGGGTTTTGAACTTTATGAGATTCAGAAGAGTTTTTTGGTGGCGGCAAAGTTGTTAAGCTAGACGTCCTCTTAGAATCGGACTTAACGTTACAACCATTAGGATTATGATGCATTTGAGAGTTTGAAGCTGATGGTCTGTAGTTATCTCTTCCTGCTTTTCGCTGGCATGGTGTTTTATCCGGAAGAGTCTTAATATCCTTGAAAATCTGTTTTTGTCTCAATGAATTGGAGGAATTTAAAAATTCACTGGCGTCTACAGATGAGTTGAATTTGAACAAGATCGGTGAGTGCATACCAGGATGACTTCTTTTTAATCTTGTGCATACACATGGTACGTGTGTCATATTGCTGGCTCTAAGCAGACTAGATTTGATATTTTTAAGGGCATGTGTATCCGGTATATTAAACACAATTGCATTGCTAGATCGTCTTATTCTTTCAAATACCTCTGATGCAACACGATCTAGGAAAATATTTATGTCATTCATTTGATCTGGAGTCTCTGTGAGGTTGGGGTTGATGAGATATTTAAGCGGATTGAGAATGTTCATGTCTACTTGCAACTTTTTTATAGCATCCATATAGTTGCAGTTGCGATTATCATCACTGTTTACCATCAGAGTTTTCAACATGTCTGGAATGGAGACAACTGGTAAAAGCCTGTCTGCTTCCGGATGAACGGAGTGGCACGTCTCGTTGAAACTGTTGGAAATCGTATCGGTAGAGGTGTTAAATTGTGTCGTTTTCCTACGTTTGGCTGAACGCCTAGGAGCAGGGGTCTTCATTTTCTTTTGTGACATGATAAAGTGACGTATAGCAAGTGGTTTGAACAGAATGTTGGAAATAGGGGTGAAAAAATCAATTCCGAGGGCTCAAGTTAGTCTAAAAATCAAAATCTATGTTTTAACCAAGAGTGAATGTATCGTGAGGATTAGTGGTGTTAAAAACAAAAGATGACAATGGCAGGAAGATAGTAGTGGAGATGAAGTATTTATGTCAGTATCTGTGTGGAGGCAAAATAGAATATAAAGGAGCAAGTTGTATAAATTTTAACATATATGACACGAAAGATAGCCTTATATAGTAAAGTAATTTAGAAATGTCGATAATTAGTATCAAACAATCAAAAAAAGTACGGTATGTGATACATATATAAACTGAAAGTCCGTATTAGTAAAAATTGGGAGGTGCAGAGATAAGTAGTTTAGAAGATTATTACCGTCTAAAGTTATTATGTTGCTTCTTGAACAAATATATGAAACAGCTTTTTGGAAAAAAACACTGTCAAAAAAACAAACTATGACAGACTCACCGAATTGGACAGGTAATTTCGGAAATGAAATAATTTATAGTATCCAAATACGATTTAAATGATAGTTAATAAAATAGTGAATACAGTCCTTTAACATACACGGTTATATATATTTCTTGATATTAGGTAGAGGTTTGAATAGATCCTGTAGATACATAAAGTACGTGGGTTAAAGCATTCAAATACGATATAATCATATATTCCTTAAGAAATAGAATACAGATATGAAATGCAAATCTTCGTCAAATATGATTATATACGGTTTCAAAGTATAGTTTGATCGTATAGTCAAAATGAATATATGTAATTATATGATTATGAATTATTGTATGAATATGATCATAAATACTGTAAGTTGAACTCAGAACTTATCATATGGCATGAAATTCACAGTTTATATGTTAATAGTTAAGAATAGAGTTATTTTCCATAATTCCAAGAAAAAATAATTCATCCAGCTATGCGAGAATCCTAGAAAAGTGAAACTAAAAACCTCGGCCTGAAAGTAACGTCCAGTCCGTAGCGCGCGGTTCCGACAAGCCTTTCCATTCGAGTCTTATATGAGACAAATTAAGGATTCCGTGCGTAGTGGGTTTGCAGTAACTAAGCAAGCAGCACAGCGTTATGCTGAGAGAATGTCCTTCAGCGATAGGCTTCCCGTACGGGACGACTACGTGCGAGTTGACCGATAAGCTCGCCCGTAAGCCAAATATCAGAAGGCAGTTGATGGCTGTAGTCGAGATGTATTTGTTGGTGATCGAAAGAATACCGAGATCGTGCCAGGTTACAAGGGTGGTTACTGAGCGTAACCGAATTCGTGCAAGGTCACAATCAATTACTGATGTTGAAAAACTCTAGGGAGAAGTATGCAACAAAGAGGATAATCTAGCACTTTAGGAGGGCGTGACTCGACCTCAAAGTTGAGCAGAAAACAACGGACGTGCCTTTTAACACTTCGACGTGTAATGTAGTTCGCCTGAAACATCA